AATAGTAATTGTAAGATGATATCGAAGCTAAAATATAGTAATTAGGGTTCATTTGTGTAGAATATGGCATTAATTTAACATAATTATAGATTTTGTGGGCTAACACATACGAATGTATTGTGTGTTGTTGCCAATAATGATGACGTGCCGTATACAAAAGAATCTTAATGGAAATTAGTAAAATAGAAATATATATGTGGAAATGAAATCTTTGTGTATTATTGTTTTGAAATGTAATTATGCATGTCATAAGATATTTTATAAGAATAATAGAGTTTGACGACGTATGAGTTTGCGATATTTGTAAAAAATATACTTTCCAAATACCGAATAATGTCTGTAGTTTGGAATTTATGTATTTAGTTGGTTCTAAATGCATAAATTTTTGTTCATGTTGAATTAATAATTTAAAAATCTCGGCAAATAACAAACAAAACAAATGAAAGAGCAGAATAACACATTGTATGAGATCGAGTTAAAAAAGTAGAACTCTCCGAATATGAAACCTCAGGAAAAACTCTGAAAAAAATGCATTTTTAAGCCAAAAAAAATTGGTCTCAAGATTAAAAATAACAAAGAAAGTACTTTCGGATGGTTGCGATTCCAGGATTAGATACTCAAAACCGTTTGGCATGGGTGACACTTAGAAAATATTTTTTTTATCTTTGAAATAACATTGTTCAGTACAATGAAATGAAAGAAAATGTTGCAATTAATATAAACAAAGCAAAAACCATATTTAGATAACTGTTTCAAGTGTGACGCCACAGTCATATTTTAACTAAAATGAAGCCAACATGTGAGAACAAAAAGTACATCCGTTTTAAAATAAACGCCTTAGATGAGTCTTAAAGAATGTGGTGGCTAGAATGAGTATCTCGTCAAAAAACGTGCAACAAATAATATATTTGAAGGACTATTGACAAAGATATGAATACAATGAGATATATGAGATATAATAAGTAAGAATTAACTAATTAATTGTTTTGTGTTTTTTAATAGAAAGATTTTTTCTACTAAATTGAATTTTTGGCTGTTTCGAGCAGTGGCGTAACTACATTTATTAGGCCTGTAAGCAAATTCTAACTAAGGGGCCCCTACCAACATACTAAGACGCCCCTCTTTTTATACTCTTTACACGAAAAAATGTGAAAAGGATATATAAGGTTTGTCAAGATTTTCGTAACGCATTAAAGGAAACGTCGGAAATATCATTAAGTATATATCAGTACAATATATATATACTTTTTCAGTTCAAACTACTCTCTCAGCTTTTGAACTCTTCGAACGAAACTTTACACACATACTTTTCGGGAGCCATTTGGTTTGATTGAAATTGGACGTCTATTTCTTGTATCTGTGATATAAACTTAACAATCGGATATGAGGTTTCTCCATTTTTAATAAAGGTATTCAAATGAAATTTGGTGTATACAGTACTGATATTTGCAAAAGACAACGTACAAAATTATTTTCAAATAGGTTTAAATCTAGATATAGCTTCCATATAAGTCTCTCGATTGACACATATTTTTCTTAGAAAAACTTTTTTATTTTATAAATAGGTTTAATATTTTATTTGAAGTACATACATATTATGTACTTTAAATTTAAAATTTACGTATCTTTTATAAAATGCAATATGAAGTTAATCCAACAAAAAACGTTTCGTCCCACTTTTGAGAATTTATCAAAAATAAATACAATGAATACAAAAATTTATAGTGGGGCCCCCTAAATTCGGGGGCCCGAAAGCGTTGCTTCCAGTTGCTTCCCTGTAGTTACGCCACTGGTTTCGAGTATTACCAAATAACCATTAACAGTGGTTCTTTTGGCAATATTTCTTATATTATTTTTTTGTTCGTAAATAATTTCTTGAAGTTTGCAAGTACCAAGGGTTGCACTTGTATCCTGCTAAGTATATTTTGAATTATATTTTTAAAAACAACTAACGCATGACTTTTGTAACGAAATTAGTATACAATGTTTATATACATGGGATTTTATATAAACATATTTATTCACAATTCCTGTGATAAGCAGCCGGATATTGTACACTTTAAGAATTATGTGCGTGCAGTTGAGCATGCCACCCCCGCATCATATCAAATTAAACATAAAAATAATATTTTATGTAAACATATAATAAAACCAGTAGTTTTTAAATATTTTGTGTATTCAAAATATTCACAAAATTAAAATAAAAATTGTTTAAACAAAAATAAATAAAAAAAGATGTAGCTAATAAAATTTTTATAGCCACAATTTAACTGTTGGCAAACCTTTCATTGCTTAATTTAAAATGTTAAAAAAATGTAATAATTACTAAGTAATAAAAAACAATCAAAATATATTGCACACCTCAAAATACTTTTTAGTAGCAATGCGACTGCTTATGATTGCTATAGAGCAGCCAACCTAAACCACATAAACACGCAACAATGCTGCTGCAACATTTCTTGCTTTATTTCTTTTGTGAGAAAATGTTTCACGTAATTTTATTTGCACCTTTTCTGATAGCAACTTTAATAAGGACACAATGGTGCAACGAGTAAATTGACGTTAATTTTAGGTTTAAAAGTTTCTTTGATTGCATTATGAAGTAAAGGCAGTAGAAAATTTTATTAAAAATTATTAAATGGTTCAAAATATGATAGGTCAACGGGAATTTCCAAAAGCCTTACAAAACAAGTATTTGAGGTGTTTAATTAAAAAATGTTGTATGAAAAAATTTCTTAATTTTTTTTGAATAGATTTATTTACTTATAAGTAGATATATAGAAAATGTTATATGTATATTTTATGTTTTCATCAAAAATTTATAGATTAGTTTGGGTTATGATGCATTGCTTCTCCTACACAATACTTGTTAAGGCAAGTTTATTTAATTTATTTTCGAAATTTTATGCTTACAAATTTGTTTACTTCCTAATTTTTACAAATTTACCAATGAAACTTAAAATAAAAATTTTGCATATAAACATTTTATCTATTTTATGCTTTCTTCTGCTACAGCTACTGTTATAATAGGATGCACTTCACAATATGGAAATGTTTACTAAAGCATCTTTCATCACTCTGACCGGCTGATATAATCCGGATTTTTTATTGTATTTGCTAGCTTTCAGTTGTTAAATGTGCTCATAAAGCAAATATGCTGTTTGGGTTTTATAGCGCATAAAAAGAAGCTTGTAAATAGTCGAAAGACCACACTTGCTGCTTCTGTTGCTGACTCTTGGAGCAATTGTCTGATTGTCTGGCTATGGTTACATAATATGCTCATGCAATATAATAACAATTTTCTATAGTGAATGTGGCATTAAAAAATGCTTTGGGCTATAAAAATTGTTAGTACGTGTGTCTGACACTGGGGCGTGTTGCTGATGCCTGCCTGTTGCCTGTTATTCGCTGCCTATTGCCTTAAAAAGGGAAGGCTGTCCAAAGGAATAATAACAGAAAAAGCATTTTAGAAAAATTATTATTGTGGGTACGGTCAGTAGGCCACCCACACAGCTAAAATAGTTATAGAATTATTTCAAAATAGATAGAAGGAAGGAAATTGATAAAGATTTTAAATATAAAAGAAATATATATATAAATACTATGAAACCACATACTAATATTCCTAAAGAAAAAATGTTTTCATTTTCTAAAATAAAAATTAATTAAAATGCATAACATACACTAAATGTCTTAACAAATCCTACTTGTAGATTTTTGATCCCTGTCAATTATAGGAATTGTCAACAGCTACTTCAAAACAAATCCAGAAAATTCTAAATTTAATGCTTTAAGCAGTGGAAATCAAGTTGTTCATCCACGAAAAAAGTAAAGATACTAAAAAAGAAAAGTCCAAAAGAAAACTGATTAATTTTACGCCCTACGCACAGTTTGTCAAATCGCAACTTAAAATAAATTAATAAAATTGCTTCTACATTCTTTTTCATGTTCTCCATATTCTTCATGTGCTCATTCGATTGGATTTAATAACTCGCCGAACTCTCAGACGTTCTGAAGCCTACGAGCATTCAGTTCGGCAGACACTTCATGTGCTCTGAAAGGTGTTTATTTTTAAAGAGCTCGGGCAGCTCAGTTCCATATCTTGCCCGCTGACAAATCAATATCTTAACGAGTAGGTAGCGCTAGTCTACATGGAATTTTCGTTCTTCTTTATTTACGGCTGACAACAAATATTTGTGCGTTGACTGCTGGGCTGACTAGTTCTGTTGGATTTCGGGCATTGGATGCTGCTGCTGCAGCTGCTGCTGCGCCGTGTTGATTGTGAATTATTTCTTTTGACGCCTTTGGATATGTCACACGTGAATTACGTCGCTATTCATAGACTCGATTCCCACAACTGTGTTATTGCTCTACAACGCTATGGGTGTGATATTCTACTCATTTTTATGTTGTTTTTATTGATATTTCAAAAGATAAATTTAATTGCGACTACTTCGTAGTTTTTCTTCTGTTTTCATTTATAGCATTTTTGCCTAATAATATTTTATTTTTGTGTTTATTATTATGCACTATATGTATTTCTCTATATTATGTTTTGCACATGGTCAAGGTTACTGGATGAAAAAAAATATATTTTCATGATTTAAATAAGAAGTTTTGGTTATAAAAAAATATTTTTTATTTTTTAGTTTATTATATTAAGGGGATTAGCAATAATTTCATTAAAAAATATTATAAAATTTATTTTAATTCAGAGCGTAAATAAAATTTTTATTGATGTTTTGATTACCGGATGTATTTCCGTAATTATTTAGAAAATGTTTAATTTCCAAATATTTAAATATATACTTAATGCAAA